AACCGGTGGTCAGGCAGCAGCCGACCGCGCGGCCGCAGCGAGCCAGCGGTCCGGCCAGAAAATGAACCGACTAGTTTAGACCGGTTTGGGAGTTGTTCAGTATTTACTGACTCGGTTCGAGTCCAGTACAATATTTCAGTTAATTTTTCAGTCCAGTCAGTTCAGTATACCGGTATCAGTTCAGTCTGGTTTTTCTTGTCAGTCAAGTTAAGTCCCGAGAATATTCCAGTTAAATATTTAGATCGAGTCGAGGATTTTAACAGTCATTTTCAGTCAATCTGAGCATAGTACTTAGTATTTGTTTATTTATATATTTTTACAGAGTAGTCAGCAGCAGCACTTACATTATCAGTACAGGTGGGAACTCAGACTGGGTATTACATTGGTTATAATTGCTCTATCATGTTTTAAGGTATGTATATCAGTTATTCCACTTTGGGTGGAGGCGCAGTAGCCTGAATTGCCCATCTGGAGTTCTGGTGGAGGCGCAGTAGCCTTAATTGCCCATCAGAGTGTGCACATGGCCAGTTCAGTACATACCTCGTGTCTGGAGATTACAGTTTATTTATATATACCTGCAGTCATGATATTGACATTATTATTAATGTTTACTTTAGTATGAGTTTCTGCGGAGTACAGTGTTTTTAGTACTCACGCTCCCACTATTATAATTCTTTTTCAGGAGACAGGGTCGGTCCGGAGGAGTGAGTGGAGCTGGTGGTCGCTGGTCCAGTACATGTAAATATGTTTATATTTTTGCAGACTGTTGATATGTATATATTTGCCACGCTTTACTTTCGCTAACGTTTTCAGACTATCAAACTAGCGTGTAAATTTTCAGACGACGATCCGAGTTCTCGGGTCTAGTTTTATACAGTATCACACGCTTGTTTAATAATGATAATCCGCTTTTGATAAATGGGTTTATAGTTAATGGATTTCTAGAAAAGAAATGTTTTATGTAGCATCCCAATATATGTTTCGCAAAATAAAACGTAAACTTTAGAAAAGAATTTGCGAAAATCGCACTCTGATTTTAGTAAGCTAGTGGGGTGTTACAAATTGGTATCAGAGCACATTTTTGTGTATCTGAATACTTTTACAGTTAGGAATTTTCATAAACGACCCGACCACGCTACAATCACGCCTCGCCGACTATCAGGTAAGTGTTAAGTTTCAGTTTATTTATATTTAAACGAATACTTAAGTCTATGCTCAGTAAAGGGTACCAGATTATAAACCCTAGAAACCAGTAAGATGCTCGAGTAAATACAGAACCTTAGTCGGTTGTCCTAGTCATTTGATTGTTCGACTTTAGTATTCTCGGGTTATTTAGCGACTCGTCAAGAGATTTGTGTATTTAAGTAATCAGTCAGTTGATCCCTTATGTTATTTAATCATGTTAAATATTTCAATGTTCAGATGCCTCCTCGTAGAGAGCCAGATCATCAGGAACTCCCATAGGCCACAGTGGTCGCTTTGTTCCGCGACTACCATCCAGAAAAGTTTTTCGGCCAAGGAGATCCTCGTGTAGTAGATGAATGGGTTCAGGGTCTCGAGATTATTTTCGAGGTCATGAACTGCCCCGATCGTTATCGCATGTTATGTGCTGAGATCCAGCTGACCGATGATGCCAGACTCTGGTGGCAAGCCTATTGGAGTATGCGTCCCGGTGAAAAAGACGGTTGTACGTGGGATCAGTTCAAGGAGCTGATCCGAGAAAAGTATTATCCCTCGTATTACCGAGCAGACATGGAGCGCCAGTTCTTGGCACTCACTCAGGGTACTCGTACTGTTGACGAGTACGAACGAGAATTCATCCATCTCGGAGCCTTTGTACCAGATCTTGTAGGTACGGAAGCAAAGAGAGCCCACCATTTCACCGACGGACTTCGCCCAGCAGTCCGCCACAACATCGTAGGCCACGGCGTCCAGACCTACGCCCGAGCAGTTGCCATTGCCCAAGAAGTCGATGCCAGTATCCGACGTGAAGCCGTCCAGACACCAGCCCAGCCAGTTGCTCAGCCATCAGCCCAACCTAAAGTAGCCCAACCATCAACAAACCAGAAGAAGAGGAAGCTCAGAGGGGGCTCAGATAACCGGAGGACCCGTACCAGACAATATCCAGAATGCCCAACTTGCGGGAAACACCATCGTGGAGAATTCCTCGTAGGCCAGAATGTTTGTTTCTTTTGCCGCCAGCTAGGTCACTTCAGCAACAACTGTCCAGAACGACTGCAACAACAACCGCAACAACGTCAACAACCACAGCAACCTCAACAACAGCAACTTCAACAACAGCAGCCCAGGCAGCAACAACCACGACCACAGCAACAGCAACGCAGTAGAAGCAGGCCCGCGTCTTTGCAGTTGATCAGAGGGAGGCCGACCAGCATCCAGGTACCATGTCCGGGATGATTATTCTTAATGATGAGCCTGTCTATGCCTTATTTGATACCGGAGCGACCCACTCTTTTATATCACGTCGATGTCTCGAAGCTATTGGGGTTCGTTCCACTACCACTGTCGATCCTCTCGAGGTGAGTCTAGCCTCAGGAAGAAAGATAGTGACTGAGGCTAGAGCCACCGATCTCAGCCTTTCCATCGGCGGCCGTATTCTGATTACTGATACTTATGTTATCGAGATGAGGGATTTTGACCTCATACTCGGTATGGATTGGCTAACTCGATTTCACGCAGATATTCAATGTTATGACCGGGAGATTACTCTTTATCTTCTGGGAGATGATCAGATCACTTATTACGGCTCCAGGACTCGTACTCTGCCACATATTATTTCTATGGCGAAAGCCAGAAAGATTCTTCGACGGGGTGATTGCCAGGTTTATCTTGTGAGCCTCGTTGGAGATGAGTCAAAGGCACGTTCACCTCATGATATCCCTATTGTTCGTGAGTTCATGGACGTGTTTCCAGACCAGCTTCCCGAAGGTTCGCCTTGCCGACAGGTGGAATTTTCTATTGATCTTATCCCTGGAGCCAGACCCATTTCAAAGGCACCGTACAGAATGGTGCCTAAAGAATTGCAGGAATTAAAGACCCAAATTCAAGAGTTGTTGAATCTCAGTTTTATACGACCGAGCGTTTCTCCTTGGGGAGCACCAATCCTTTTTGTTAAAAAGAAGGATGGATCCATGCGTATGTGTATCGACTACCGGGATCTTAACCGGTTGACAATCAAGAATAAATATCCACTTCCCAGGATCGATGATTTATTTGATTAGTTGAGGGGTGCCTGTGTGTTTTCTAAGATCGATTTGCGTTCAGGCTACCATCAGCTGAAAATCAAGGAGTCAGACATACCCAAGACAGCTTTTCGTACGAGATACGGTCATTTCGAGTTCGTGGTTATGCCATTTTGCCTCAGTAATGCCCCGACAGTATTCATGGACTTGATGAACCATGTATTTCATCCTTTTCTCGACCAGTTCGTTATTGTCTTTATCGATGATATTCTTATATATTCCAAGAGCCAGGAGGAGCACGAGGAGCACCTGAGGGCCGTTCTTTCGACCCTTAGACGAGAGAAGTTATATGCAAATTTCTCCAAGTGCGAATTTTCGCTTCAGCGAGTGGCTTTTCTTGGCCACATTATTACTTCAGCAGGTATTGAAGTTGATCCTTCCAAAATTGCTGCAGTCCAGAACTGGTCAGCACCGAAGAATTCGTCCGAGGTTTGTAGTTTCCTCGGCCTTGCAGGTTATTATCGTAGATTTATCGAAGGGTTCTCGAAGATTGTACTCCCTTTGTCTCAGCTGACGAGGAAGTTTGTAAAGTTCGAGTGGACAGACTGTTGTGAGTCGAGTTTCCAGGAGCTGAAAAGGAGGCTTACGACGGCACCGGTGTTGACTATACCCGATCCTTCTCGGAGCTTCACCATCTATAGTGATGCCTCGAGGCAGGGTTTGGGATGTGTACTTATGCAAGACGGCCAGGTCGTTGCTTATGCGTCACGCCAGCTTAAAACACATGAACGGAACTATCCGACGCACGACTTGGAATTAGCTGCAGTTGTTCATGCCCTCAAGATTTGGCGACACTATCTATACGGCGGTCAATGTGAAATCTTTACTGATCATAAGAGCTTGCAGTATATCTTTACCCAGAAGGAGCTCAACATGAGGCAGCGCCGTTGGTTAGAGCTCGTCAAGGATTACGATTGTACAATCCAGTATCATCCGGGAAAGGCGAATGTTGTTGCTGATGCCCTAATCCGCAAGGTGAAGGGTGACTTGACATACGTTGTTACTCAGCAGAGTCAGTTGACTCATGAGTTCTCCCGGATGCAGATCCAGCTAGTTGATGCACTTCCTACAGCCAGTTTGGGGAGTGTGAGTTTTATGCAGGTTCAACCGACGCTGAGGGAGAGAATCCGGCAAGAGCAGGCTTCAGATGAGTTCGTTCGTATGATTGATGCCAAGGTTCGTGCCAGAGGCGTCGAGGGTTTTCACCAAGGCATTAATGGGGCCTTGGAGTTTTGTGGCAGGATTGTGGTGCCTAAAGTTGAAGCATTGAGGAAGGAGATTTTATCTGAGGCTCATACTGCACCCTATCTAGCCCATCCAGGAAGCACAAAGATGTACCATGACCTAAAAGGGTCGTTTTGTTGGAAAGGAATAAATAAAGTCGTTGCCGACTTTGTAAGAAAATATTTAACCTGTCAGCAAGTCAAGGCCGAGCATAAGAGTCCGATAGGCCTTCTACGACCACTACCGATTCTGAGGTGGAAGTGGGAGGAAGTTGCGATGGATTTCGTTACAGGGTTACTGCGGTCGTCTGAACATCACGATGCTATCTGGGTCGTGGTCGACAGATTGACTAAGGTTGCCCACTTCTTGCCAGTATCGATGAATATGTCTTTGGATCGGTTAGCTGAGATTTATATCCGTGGGATCGTTCGACTCCATGGAGTACCTGTTACTGTTGTGTCAGACAGAGACCCCAGATTCACCAGTAGATTCTGGAAGAGTTTACACGAGGCAATAGGTACGAAGCTAGCATTCAGTTCAGCCTACCATCCCGAGACTGACAGACAGATGGAACGGACTATACAGACATTAGAGGATATGTTGCGTGCTTTGACTGTTGACAGGGGTGCTAAATGGGAGTCTTTATTGCCGTACGTCGAGTTTGCGTACAACAACAATTATCATTCTTCTATTCAGATGGCTCCTTATGAGGCACTATACGGTCGTAAATGTCGTTCCCCTCTTTATTGGGACGACATCGAAGAACGTCGAGTACTCAGTCCGAAGCTGATCGAGGAGATAGCCGAGCACGTCGAGTTGATTCGGCAGAGACTTAGAACAACTCAGAGCAGAATGAAATCCACCACCGATCATGATCGACGAGATATTCAGTTCGAGGTTGGCGAGCACGCTTTTCTCAGGATTAGTCCATTTCGCGGAGTTATTCGATTCGGGAAGAGAGGGAAGTTACACCCTCGGTTCATTGGCCCGTTCGAAGTACTCGAGCGAGTGGGCGATGTTGCGTATCGTTTAGCCTTACCTCCCGAGTTATCCAGTGTTCACAATGTTTTCATGTATCTATGTTACGCAAGTACGTGTGCGACCCCGATCATGTCATTCCTCATACTGATATTGAGATTCATCCAGACTTATCTTACGAGGAGCGACCAGTAGCTGTGTTGGACCGACAGGTTCGACGGCTTCGGAAGCGTAATGTTCCCCTCGTTCGTATTCAGTGGGATCGCCACGGAGCCACTTGGGAGCAGGAGGCTGACATTCGCGCTCGTTTTCCCAACTTTAAGTTCTGATATGTATATTTTCATGTATATATGTTTTGTTTTATATTTCCGAGGATGGAAATATTTTAAGGAGGGTAGATTGTAATAACCCAACTCTTTGTTAATAAGAATGATGTATTATCTTTTATCGATTTCGTTCATTTTCAGCGAATACGTTCGACGTTAAGTTGAAAAGTTTATCCGGTAAATTATTAACCGAGTTAATTCGATAATTAATTTCCGAACCGCTTATTTTATAAACGGGCATTACTAATCGGGATTAATTATTGATAGTTTAGCATGTTCGGAATTAAGTTCGAAGTTGAACTAAGCTAAGTCGTGAATTACGCGAGGCATACGCACGTACATGTACTCATGCACGCATGCCATGTGCATAACTACGCACGCGGACGCGCATAGCGCACATCGTCGCGCACAGCGCGCAGCGCGCGCATAATTAGGGTGCTAAGCACGCACTTAGGCGACGCTTAGCAACATCATCAGGTCAAATCCCCTCCCTAATAATTTCATGAGGAAAAATATAAGGATAACCGTTGTGTGTGCAAGTGGGGTGATGATTCACCTAGTAGCTTGCACACACGGCACGCCACGGACGCACGAGTGGTGACTAAGCCGTGCATGGCCGCCACCTCGGCAATGACTAAGCCAAACTCACCCGCATTGCAGCCATGTTTCGGACACTTGTAACCAAGAGAGGTGTGGTCATCTTTCACCTTCTTTGACCCACCTTCACCTACGGTTTTCACCATCAATAAATAACCGAGCCTGTGGAACGTTTTCCTCATGCATTTTCACGTGCGTTTAGCCATCTTTCAGCGTACTAAAGTAGAGAGAAAACAGCAAGGAAAAATCAGAGAAAAATAGTACAAAAATAGCTAAGTGTTGCCGAAGTAAGGGAAGGACATAAGGACATTAAAGGAAGTACCGAACACTCACACAAGTCATCGTGCAATCCTCGTCCAAACTGAAGGGTACATTCTTATTTACCGTCTTTTTATGTATTTTAGTCATTGTAAGGAGATCATGTCGATGTCATGTTGTTCGGTCCAAGTTCTTTTAGCAAAATGACCTCGGAGGTGCTACATAAGCCCTCCCGAGTGATTTCAGTTTTTAACCGGTAGGTCCCGAATGCTTATTGTATGATTATGTTATTTAAGTCAAAACATGAACAGTCATATGTGGACTGCCGGAGAAAGTAACTGGACGGCCGACGAGATGCCGACCGTGATGCCTACCACACGCGGAGTGCGCGCAGGCACGCCCGGCAAGTTAGCGAGTGCACAGGCAGCGTCCGCGCGCCCAGTAACGCGCACACATGCCTAGCACTCGACAGCCAAGCGTCGCGATGTCGCAGTCGTGTGCGTAGTCGTGCACAATGCACGCACTGTAACGCCCCGTTCGATTTATAAGAGTCGTCGTATTTTATTTTATTTTAAATTAT